GAATTGCCACCTTTTGCTGTAAAGCAAGCAAAACACTGAGGCCTAAATGTAGTGACAGCTGAAAATGGGAAAATTATGGACTAATGATCACTTCGAAATATTGAAAAACTTTTAAACAAACATCAGGGAAAAGATTCTACCACCACAATAAGAAAATATTCAGTGGCTGGAGTGATGGCTTAGTGATTACGAGCTCTGGCTGCTCTTCCGGAAGAGCTGGGTTCAGATTCCAGCACCCACATGGCAGCTAACAAGAGACTGTAACTCTAGTTTCGGCGTATCTAACACCCTTTTCTGGCTTCCATGGCACTGCATGCACATGGTATACATACAAACATGCAGGCAAAGCACTTAAACACATAAAAAATATTTTTAAATATTTCACCAAGACAAAGTGAGATTTATCCAGGAATGCAAGACTGCTTCAACATCAGGAAATCTATTATTATAACACACCATATTAGCACATCTTAAGAGGAAATATGTTTTAACAAAACAATACCTAATCATCACTTAAAAACAAAAATCCTCAAAAATATAGGACTTGGGGCTAGAGAGATGGCTCAGCAGTTAAGAGCACTGGCTGCTCTTGCAGAGGACCTGGGTTCAGTTCCCAGCACTGACATGACAGCTAACAACCATCTGTAACTCCAGTTCCAGGGTATCTGACACTGTCTTCTGTCCTCTGCAGACATTTCACAGCACAGTTATCACTGAGGTACTTTTCCTTTCTCCATCCTAAATTCATTCATTAGAAGTCTGCAAGCAGCAGCTTTCCCCTCTCCCTGGCTATTGTATTCAATGGTTTATTCATGTCCAGATGGGTTCTTATCTTTGGGGTTATAATATTTCCACTATGCAACTTACATACATGCAGGCAAATCATTCATACACAAAAAAATAAAAATAAAATTTAAAACCTATTTAAAAATACAGGACTGGTAGATTTTTAAAGCTTTTTATTCTGAACTAACTTTAACAGAGAAGTTACACAAACACCAATTCCTAAATACTGCTTACCCAGCTTTCTCTAATGTAACTCTCTTGGAAAGCCTCAGCACAATGATCAGAACCCAGAAATTAACACCAACAAAGTACTGACAGAAGTAAATGTTGCCATTGTCCCATTAAGGTTCTTTTTCTGGTGCAGAATCCTCACTTGAAGCGTATCTCTCAGTTGTGGTTTATCTGGAGGGGGTTTCAGGCTTAGAATGAGGTTATTTTCTTTTTGGCTAGAATACCTCAGATGCTGTGTCCTTTTCACCACCATCAATGAATGTGTTCATGATGTTGATCCATTTTGTTACTGGTGATGTTAACTCTGATCCTCAGTAATTGATTCAGGTGGTGTCTGCTGTGTTTCTTCACTGTAAACTCACTGTATTTCTCTGTATAACTAATAAATAAATACCTTAGAGGAACTACTTTGAGATTAACAAATCCCCTGTGTCTCTTCAACCTTTCACTCACTGGTTTTGGCACGTATCTGTGAAGCTGTCTACAACAGTTATCACTGAGGTACTTTTCCTTTCTCCATCCTAAATTCATTCATTAGAAGTCTGCAAGCAGCAGCTTTCCCCTCTCCCTGGCTATTGTATTCAATGGTTTATTCATGTCCAGATGGGTTCTTATCTTTGGGGTTATAATATTTCCACTATGCAACTGCTGCTTAAATCATTCCATTCTTCAACACTGGTTTCAGGTTAACCAGTAAGTGTGATGCAGGTTAACAATGAATCACAGGCTTAAGACTAGACAGCTTTCACTCTTAGTGATCCTAAGATACTACATATGATGTTCAACTACCTTGTTAGGGACTACACACAGAACAGTGGGGAACCAGATACCAAGAGGGAGAAGATGAGACCCAGGGTCCTTGCTAACCCATCTTCCAACCAACCCACTGAAGCATCAAAGGTGTTGAAAGACTCATCCTGAATGATTCAACTCAATGACTGCAGTCTGAGTGAAGAGATGAATGAATAAAACATACAGTGCTGTAGACATGAATAAGCACAGAAGAAAAGCAGCAACAAAGTGGGTAGGGTCTGGAATTTTAAAGACGGTGATTAGAGAGACTTCTGGGAGGCCACTGAGAGCAATTCGGAAGGACGTGAAGGAGTACATACCTCAGACAGGAGAGTAGCCAGGGCAAAATGCCTGGTACAAGAGTCAGTCAAGCTGGTGAGGTAAAAGAACAGGCAATTTACCATGGTTGACTGAGATGGGGTGGTGGTGATGAAATCCAAGACTAGACATGGGGTAAGAGGCCTAGCTGTGTAGGGTACTGGTGTTTACTTTGATTAGAATGAGAAATCACTGGAGAGGATTTGTATAAATGCATGACATAATTTGATTTATACTTGAAAAGATCCTCATGGTTGCTGTACTAATATATGTTGGGGCAAGGTAAGAAGAAGGGAATAGTCAAGAGACTACCTGAGGGCAAGAAGCATCTAGGGAAAACGTTGACCCAGACCACCCTGCAAGAAGCAAGGGAAGATTATTCAGAGTTCAGATTTGGTTACTGTAGACGGCATGGAAAAACAAGAAAGGAATCAAGGTTTGTGGCCTGAGCAACCTAAAGGAGTTGCCAGGTCTCTGTTCCCATTCAGAGAATTACTGTTACCCCACTGGGGTGGGGCTTATTTTGAGAAGACCACAATTACATCAGAGCCTTGATTAGGAGCGATTTGGTGGGTTGAGATTTTTTTTTTCTAAAAAAAAAACACCTTATTGTAGTGTTTAAGTGATAAGAGAAGGATAGAAATGGGAAAAATATAATTACTATTCTAGGAGTGAGGTGAGCACACGTGCACCACAGGATGTCATACCCAATCAAATGGAAAGCTAGGGCAGAAAGAACAAAGGGGCAGAGAAAAGCCAGAGACTCAGTGTGGATCATCAGGCAAAAGTTATAGCTGCTAAACAAGGGTCAGCAAGGTCAGGAGAAAGAGAAGGAGAGACACAGAAGGAGCAAACTATTGTGCTGAACTCCAGATACTTCTCTTTCACCTGTCTCTGACCAGAGATGCTCTGAACACAGAGAAAAAGAAAACAAAAGAAAACATACTTTTTTAAACACCTGAGGAAAATTCTATATGGATTGAGTATTAAATACTATTAACAAATTACAAATGGTATTGGGTATGACAAAGAATTTGTAGATGTTAAAGTTGAACAGGTTTTAAATTAAAACTCTGTATGTGTGCAAATGTCACTATGTTTAGAGATGCTAACTGAAGTATCTGCAGGCAAAACAACTGGGATGCTGGCTCCAAGATTTCTGTGGTTCTTGGCAAGAGTGCTGTTTGACAAAGTTCTAGCCGAGGGTCGATGACCGCTGCTCTTTTGGTGGACATCCCTTCCCCAGTTACTCCTGGTTTTTGTAGTTTGTGTAGCCTTCTCTTCTTTAAGTATTCTGATGACCAACTCTGATGATGGAATGGGAAACTAAACTGGGGAAATCTCTGCCTTTAGCAGAATTATTATGTTACTGAAACAAAACGAAAGTAATAAGATAGATAACTTCCTCTCGTTTGGACCTGCATTTGTGATTAATAATGACGCTTGGTTTCCCCCAAAAGAAAAAGATAGCATGCAATAGATGCCCTGCTTCCTTTTACAGGAGTTTATGACTTTAACCCTAAACTAGGAACTATTGAGACTAAAGTTTGGTATAAGGAAAAACTATTTGGCTTAGGGAAACTCCTTCTTGGATAGAAAGATTATCTAGGCCAGTAAAAAGCTGGTGGTGTATGACCACTGACGAAAAATTGCCT